ACCAAGTTCGACCGCCAAATAATGTAAAGTAACAAATTACCATTTATAATATATAATTGTGGGTGGTTAATAATAATGACTATCTGCGTCAGAGATAATAAATGTATTTCAGAAACATTTAACAGTTGCTTAACTTATTCTTTGCAATGGATAGAACAATAAATTATTGTTATTATTAAAAACATATTTTTAACTTTTGATCTCCCCCAATTTAAACTTCCTACCAGAACTTAGAACTTAGCTTCTCTAACACTTCCTAGAAACCTTACAAGATATCTTAATAGGAATTGGTGTCGCGACTTAAAAACTTTATAAATATTTAAGAGGTGTCTTAAATCTATGATTTCCTCTTCATGTGTATATACATTGTCATTTGTCTGTAAATTATTAATATTACTTATTGTACATACTTTATAGATTGTAATTTTTAAATAAAGCCAATTATTTATTTAAAAAAACTTAGCATGTCTGATTGTCTACTAAGTTGAAGATTAAAGCAAATTTTCTGCTCTAAACGTGATGTCAGAAACAAAAAAAAGGAACGCACTATGCAGACCTTAATAAAACCATTACCTAAACCATATGATATACAGGTAAGCCATTCTATTGTTTATTGTAAAATCAATGATGAATCAATTGCAAATCATAATTTACCGACCAAAAGGAGTGTTGGGCGTTATGATAGAATTTTACGTTAGCAGTGGTAGCACTATATTACGCACCCTCCAATCAGTTTTATAGTTCAATGTTATTCTGTGGTTCAATGAAGATTGAAGGTGTTTAATGCGTTTGTTTTTTTCAATGGTTCTGTGCTGTTTCATGGGTGACCGTAGGAGAGCGCGTGTGATAGTCCCCAATTTCTTATCAGTATCCATTTTCATAAAAACCTACACCGACGGTGGCCGCGGTCTAGCGAAGTAGCGAGCGCCGATTCCGAGCGGCGAGCACTAGCCACTGGTGCCTGTAAAGTAGTGTTATATTAGTACTTGTTGTTTATACTTTTATAGTAGTAATAAATAATTGAAATACCGTTGTGCTGTGGAAGTCATTATAGTGCGTTTAGTTGTGTCATTATTATTGTGTCGATAATTTAATACTATTGATACTGAAAACGTCGGATTGATACCGACGTGAAGAACTATTCCTCAACGTTTTAGTTATTATGCCGAAAAGTTCGTTCATGAGACGACAATGAACATCATAGCGAATCACAATCGTTTCCGTCCGAAACGCTGAGTAGCCGTCCGTTAAGGTAGGTCGGTGGTTGTGGTCATTGCTGGGGTGTGTCTGGAGATCGCACGGACGATGCAACACAGTAGTGGCGTGATCGGCAAACCGGACACGGTCAGACCGGCCAAGCATAATGGTGGCAACATCGCTGGTATGTATGACCTGGAGCAGACGCTCGGCAAGGGTCACTTTGCCGTCGTTAAGATGGCCAGGCATGTGTTCACTGGTGAACAGGTAGCCGTCAAGGTGATYGACAAGAACAAGCTAGAAGAAGTTTCTCGTAATCATCTATACCAGGAGGTTAGTGCCATTGAGTTGTATCTTGTGTCATTCTTGCAATCGTGTATTTGTAGGTACATATTATTTTGTACGATTCCAATAGGGTGCATTGACGTCGATGTTGTTACCATCTAATGTCCGTAGAATGCCACTGTTTTAACCTATCCACTGTAGCAATGTGGTCAGGCTCACTACTTTTATGATTAACTTAATATTATAGAGTATGGGTACTTCATTATATTTTTGTTTTTGAACCAATTCTGTATTGGCTGTTATTCTATCAACATTTTATCTTATTTAATAGTTTTCTTGAGTAATTATTTTGTTGGTTGAACATTGTCGTAGAATTGTTATTGTAACTTGTTTTTAATTAGAAAATACAATTTTATACATTTATGTAAGTTGTGGAAATATAACCTTTATCAAMTGTCAATGATATTTAGGATAAATGACTCCTTRGTAATTATTACTTATTTAAAATCTGATGGATGTATCATACATATGTAATTGATAATTTTAGTATTCTTTTGTATACAATTTATAGCATTATTTATATAAAATAATGTTCTTACTTATTGATTTCTATCATTTTTATTCGTGGTTGGTTGTGTGGATAGGGGTATTGCAATTTATTTTTTATCAATAATGAATTACTTGTTATAGGTGCCTATTGGGTAAAAATAATATTATTTTGCAATTATAATTGGTATTCATAGTTTTAGCATTAGATATTATTATTAACAAGTTTTCAAGAACTGTGTAGTTGATTATTGTACTAATTTATACAGATACTAGATAAGTTAGAAAAAAAAATATTTAAGTGTGTGAATATTGTTACCAAATGCTTTAGATATGATTCTTTTAATCTTGTTACAACTGCTATCTTTATTACATAAGCAGGTACTTTTAATTTTTAATAAGTATAAATTGAATGATAAATAATTATTTAAT